GTGGCCCCTGGGAAGGTGGCCTCGACCTACGCCATTGCTTTCCTCCTGCCTCAGAGCCTCCAAACACCTTTCGTTCTCACAGCCCTTAGGGGCCCCTTTCTGCCTGCTAGATGAGCTGCTTCCAATCCGTAACGTGTTCAGTAAGGCCAATTAGAGCTTCAGAATTAACCTGGCCAGACTTCTGTCGCCTCAAGTTTCAGGGAGGCAGGGACTCTTGGCAGAGATGGCACAGGAACCTGGGGGCCCAGGATCTCGGGGCCACGCCTCTGTCTCCAGACCCATCCTCTCCAAGTCCCAGGAAAGTGTCTCTCTGGCCAGGCGCTGGTACCTCTCAGAATTCATTTTCTCCACAGAAGAGATGACTCTATTCAAAGAATAGAAGCAGGAAATGATTAAAAATTCTAAGAAAAGTCTCCCTGTCTCCATCTCCAGCCCTTTGACAATGCCTCCATCTTATGGTCAGGTGTGAAAATGAAAAAGCAGGAGACCCGATTGCCCCGATTCTCCACCCACCTCAGCGGCCCAGGACACGCTGGGTTGAAAGGTAGAGTCCAATTCCCGATCGACATTAGTCCTTCACTTACTGTGTCTTTATATGGTGTAGGGCGGGGAAGAGAGGAGAGGCTGGTTCTCTTCTTGTGAAGCAAAAGGCACACGAGGATTAGGGCCCTGACCTTGTGACTTCATTCAACCATAATTACCTCCTAAAAGCCCAGTCTCTGGATTTACTCCCTTGCAGAGTAGGGCTTCAACGTATGAACTTGGTGGAGGAGGCGGAACATGACTGATAGATTGTTATTTCCCAGGAAAGCGCCGTGGAAAGCAGCGAGTGGCCACCTTCCCTAACCCAGGACGGCAGTTCTGAGAAGATACTTCCTACCCTCTTGTGGACAAGTGGCTGGCATATCAGCAGTCAGGCGTGCGGCTGTGAAGGGCAGTCCAGTGCGTCTCTGGCTCTCGTGTCCTTTTCCCAGGTATGCTCTGGCCATCCCTGCCGCCCTGTGTTCACAACCGCAAGCACTGGCCTCGGGACGGCCCTCAACCGGGTTTCTAAGAAGCAGGGCCTGAGGAGTCTTGCACAAGCAATTCATGGAAGAAATGCTCACCGTCCCTGCATCAGGGCAGGTACTGGGGGTGCAGGATGGGTTGCGCAGGAAGGGAGGCAGAAGCCAGCTTTAGGAGGTGTCTGGTCTTCAGAGAGAAGGTGGTTGTGGGGTCTCCGTGACCATCAGCGGAGGGTTTTCCTTGTCTTCCCTGGCCACCGATGAAGAGAAAGCAGGGAATTGAGTGAAGCTGCTCACTGCTCACCCAGAATCTCGGCATGCAGGACAGACACGATCCACCGAGTCTGTTGTCCCACTCCTGACCTCGGACCTGGACACACAACTCTTCTGTTTTTGACAAAGGCAGGCGGCGCAGGGCAGGAATCCCCTTCAGCTCTCTGCCATGAAATGAACAGCTTAGGCAAGTGGAGATCCCCAAAGGGAGGGGGAAAGGGGAGTGACAGAGACACGTAGTCTGTTTCGGGTGAAAGTGTCTCCTGCTTGTTCTCAACAGGTCTTTATTCATACGGTGTAGTAAGTAGTTAATTACAATAATGCATGAGGCGAAGTAAGTTAATAAGAATTCACCATTAAAGTTTTCAAGGAAGAGGGAAACAATGCATTCTTTTCCTGACACTTTATGGTATACTATATTATACACATTTTTGGTAACATTCATGTATACAGATGTTTAACTAGAACTCAAAGGATAAGGGGTCTTGGGAAAGGATGAGTTTTATGTTAGCAAAGAGTTGTTAGGGGTCTAGGGAAAGAATAAATTTTGTGTTAGCAGAGTCATCAGTGACTGTCTAAAGAGAGGCTAATGGCTAACTTAAAGCTAGCAGAGAGCAGTTAGCAATTATTTAAGAAAAGGCTAATTCAAGAGGAATTTATACAGCCATACATTAAGCAATACCTGTTGAATCAACAGGTCCTTATGCCCTGGGAACCTTATCTGAGGTTTGCTTTTTGTCTCAAAAGACCAAGGAAGCTTCCCAGGAGTCTTTATGCCCTGGGGGTCTTTTCTCTCCAGGGGCTTGCTTTTTATCTCAGGAGACAGAGGAATTTCCCTCCTTGGGGAAGTGCTTACTTGCCAGGGCCAGGCAGCCATTAATGAGGCTAAGGCAATCCAGTTGAAAGCTGATGGTTGTTCAGTATATTTTTGACATTATGATTATACAAAAAGGGAAGTCATAACATAGGCTAGCAGTGGAAATTTTTGATTTAAAAAAAAAAAAAAACTTCCCTTCTTTTCAGAATCTATCAGTCAACAAAAGTTGCATGGCTTGTGTCACTTGGGTCCAGAGTCCATTACTGGTCCAAAGAGAAATTGATCAGATAGGTCCAGTCATGTGGTGCCAACATGGCCACCCAGGCCCAGGATGTTAGTAACAGGAAAGAAAAGTGGACTTGGGTTGGAGAGGTGAATGGTAGCTGTTCAAATCTGCAGACATTCCTGGTGGCTTTCAGAATCTGCTTATTTATTTCCTTCAGTGTGTGAAGATCACTTCAATTATTTTTTAAAGATTTATTTACTTATGCATACAGAACTGGGGTACAGTACAGATGTGAAGGGGCAGTGAGAGGATTCACCAGAGACAGAGTGGGAAGCAGAACAGGCAGATCATCAAAGTACACTGCTGAGGGGAGCAACAGATGAGTCAGGAGAGGTCTGCTATGCCCTGTGGTCACCTCCAGGGCAGGGATCACTCTCACTGAAGCAGCCATGGCTCATTTGCAATGCTGTGCTCTAATCTGCTGTGCCACCAGGGAGGGCCTTCAATTTTTAACCCCTATAGGCCCCTTCCACACACTCAGGTCACTCAGAACAGCCAGCACGGGGCACAGTGGGTTCAAGTGCAGCACTATGAAGCCAGCTGCAGCCGCTTACACACAATTCCCAGCCAGGGAGTGATCCACAGGGTGCATCAGACCTCTTCTGACTCACCTGCTGCTCCCCTCAGCAGTGTACTTGGTCCAACTGCCTGTTCTGCTCCCCACTCTGTCTCTGGTGAATCCTCTCACTGCCTATGCACCTCTGGCCTGTACCCCAGTTCTGTGTGCATAAATAAATAAATCTTAAAAAAAAAAACAACAGTGCCAACACCATCTCTTTTATGACAGTTCTGATTGTCCTACCCCAAGACCCCAGAGGAGAGAAAAGGCTTTCTAATGTGTCTCTGAGGTAGAATGGAACACAGAAACTGTCATGTCCCCATCCAACAACTGTGAAAACCACTGTGCACATTCGAGCTGACCTGGACCCTGTTGCATAGGGCAACACCACACTGACAAAGAAATGGGAGCAAGATACTTAATACAGGATTGCTGCTGAAGAGCAAGATCCTGGCCTTTTTATTGGTAGACTAATCATACAGCATTAATCATGTGAGGAAGTTAAAAAGAAAGGGAGAATTAGAAGAAGCTGGGGGAAAGGTGGAACTGTGTACCTGCTGATAGTTTGGTATGTGGAACAGCCCTGACTCCCCAGTCAGGATTTCAATCTTATCAATAAGGCATGCCACTGAGCAGCTTCTGGGGCCCCTTTAATACATAAGTCAACGGCCCCTGGGGCTCCTGGTCAAACCTTGTGATGCAGACTCTTCCCAGGGTGATCCAGCTTTATGCTCTTAATTGATGTGAAAGATGACTCATAGGATTGGGCTCTTAAAATGGAGGCTGGATAAGCTGCCTAGGATTAGCAGACCCACCAGTTCAGACCCTTTATCTCCCTCTGGGCACCGATGATAGTGCAACTTCTCCATCTTCCTTAACTAACATGGATTTTATGGCCCAATGGTCTTGTTATACAAAACTGGTCAAAACCCAATCAAGACCCCACCTGTGAACCCCTGACCCCTCAACTAGGCACATACATGATTGCTTAGCATAAATACTTGTATTACACACTCCAGACCCAAGGCACAAGTCTCTGTCTGCCTACACTCTCCAGGGTGTTGACTATGGCCTACAGTGAAAGCTTCGCTTCTAGCTCTCTCGGACTCCTGCAAGAATTCTTTCCCGTGCTGAAGCCTAGGAAATCTTGGGCACCCCTGAACCATCACCGGTGAAGAGAAGGTAGCTTCTGGCAGATCTTTCCTCTTCTCTGCCGCCTTAATCTAGTTCTATTTTCATGCACTAAATTCGTAGCTGGTTAAAGGCAGTGGGGCTTGGTATGGTATCAGAGACCCCGAATTTCCATTCTATGGAGCTGGCTGACCCCTCCTCTCAGGAGCCTAGCTCCCATCTCCGCCTTCCAAAGTCTACTAGTGAACTTTCCTTTTCCTCTCAACGTCCTGTTCGTGTTTGCACCAGGAGTTGCTTTTACAAGGACCCATCTGTTGTCATAGGTTAGTTCTAAAAGTCTAATAATTAACCTAGCCACTCCTGCACATTTTTCATAACCTGCTTTTTGACCAGTGAGTCGCGCTGGAAGCCATTTCATAATGGAGTTGCCTTGCAACAAGAAGTGGCCTTGAAGGGCCACCGGCGAGACAGGTCAAGCTCGGCCAGGCACTGTGCTAGCTGCACGACCAGGGCTTCTCGTAAACCTCACCACGACCCTTTCGGCCCCCATTTTACGAGCAGCCATCAGACGTAGGGGGCCCGTGACTTATCCACGGTTACACAGCTGTGTACGGAGAGGACGCCACTTCGCCCTCTAAGCCGCCAAGAGAGAAAACATAAAACCCGGAACGCGGCGCGAACGCCCTAAGCAGGTGCCTCCCTGGCGTCCGCCCACCTCTGGAAGCAGAGCCCCCCCGCCCCGCCCAGCGCGTCCAGGTCGCCTCCCAGCGGCCGCCCCTCCACCCGCGGCGCTTCCGGCCTCCTGTGGCGTCATCAGTCGGCGCCCCGGATTGGCGCGGCTAGAGTGCGCGAGCGGGGTCAGACGTCGGGTGAGGAGGCGGGCCTTCCGGCCGCGGCCCAGGCTATTTCCGGCCGGGGCCGGAAGACCGTCCCGGATGGCTTCGAGGGCGGCCTGTGAGTGCTGAGCTCCGGGCGGCCGGCTTCCGCGCGCCTGCTGGTCGCCTCATGCTGCGGGCCGTGGCCGCCGGCCCCCGCTCGGATCCGCGGCGCTGAGACGCCGGGGCAGCGCGCGAAATGTCGTCGGGCCTCCGCGCCGCCGACTTTCCCCGCTGGAAGCGCCACATCGCGGAGGAGCTGAGGCGGCGGGACCGGCTGCAGAGACAGACGTTCGAAGAGATCATCCTGCAGTGTGAGCGCGCCGGGCGGGCGCTGGCCGGCGCGGGGGGAGGCCGCGGCATCGGGGTCGCGCCCCGCGTCCCCTGACCTCCTGACTTCCTTCCACCTTAGGTTGGGGTGGCTGCGCGCGGTGTGGGGCTGCC